TATATATACACACACACACACACACACACACACACACACACACACACATACTGTACTACATATTATATACTACATATATATTTAATGGCACTATTTACTGGTAGTCACATTTTTCAACTTCTACTATTTTTTACCAAGCTTGCAACAAATGAGTACAATCTTGGGGTTAACGTCAAATCAAGTTCTGTTCTAATAGATATCTTTGACCCTGGAATCCAAAGCGGACTCAGCTTTACAGGCATCGTTCTTATCGTGTCAAAGAAACAATTCTCAAAACTACTTGTTTATAAGTTTAGTTCTGTCCATGAGCACCACACTCCATCAGTGTTGATTTGCGAAGGCCTTTTGCAGGAAACATGGGCAGGGAGTTTTGTTCTGAGATCATATGCCAAAAACATACAACTAACTTATTTGAATTTGTGCCAAATTCAAATTGCATACATTACTTTAGATTTTTCTGAGACGCACCAAGAAAGTAAAGTTGAAAGTACAACTACCTCTTGCTGTGTTTGTCCATCTTTGCAACAGGGACTCCTCTAAGTTTGGCTGCACATGTGAGCAGAAGATGTAGGCTGCCACTGGAAGTCAATAAAACTGTTCACCGAGTTAATTTTTCCCCCCCCACATTTTAAATGTAAATAATAATGAATACTTTTAACAATGACATCACTAATATATACATACTGACACACGCAGGATGGATTGGCTGTTGTTTTTTTTTTTTTGTTTGTTCTTTATTTTAAGTGATGCTTTGGGCTGTTTCACACTTGTTGCACATGAATTATTGAGCCATTTCGACAGATCATCCCTACAGGCTGTTCCCACTGTGGTCTGTGAGACAGACAAGGATTGTTATTTGCTCAATTAGAGAACACCAAGAAGTAAGAGGGCAAGAATGTGCAACACGCATCAGAAATCAGTTTTAAATGGCACCAAATTGTTCTCTGTATCACGATAAAAATCATAATCACTCCGAATTGACAATTGGAGAGGAATGTTCTGATAGTAAAATTAAGAGGTATATCCCCCCCCCCCCTTTTAATTATTTCCTCTTCTGTACCTTCTTGGATCATTGCCAGCTTTTTGCAAAGAAGTCCCCGAGCAGCCTTTTATTCTTTATTTTCCCCTTCAAAATTTCTAGTCACGACAATGATTTTTGGAAAGTATAGTGGCGTTAAACTCACCTCTGTGATCTGTTTTTCTTCCACTCTGAAGTCTGAACAAATGCTTTGACGCTTGAATGTGGGCACATGATACCTGGACTGTGTGTCATACAGGCCATTGATGCACATTGTTTAGGTCATAGGCTGTCAGACTGCACTGAGGTCACATTTTTGTGTCCAAGGCAACGTCAGCTCTAAATGATCAAGGTTAACGACACATGGGCATTGCACATACAAGAGGTGAAAAAACAAACTAAGTAGTTGGTGTTCCCATTGCTGGAAGTTTCTGAACAATTGGCAGATAGGTGTGGAAGGATGTGGGAGTTTCGTCATTTCATTCAGAACAAAAGTGAATTATCTCTTATCGTTAAGACCAAATAATATAGATTTTTTTTTCAAATACAGTAGATTTAATGTAGGTGTTCAACTAAATTCCTCCCCACCGCATGACTCCCACGAACACCCTCATGGACCTTTTTTCTATGTGCATTGGGACAGAAATGGGACTACCCAAAAGTGTGTAAAAAAATGTATTGAAGGATAAAGATTTTGAGAACCATGGGCAATGAGGTGACCTAGCTCAATTCCTAATTAAACTAGTTGATTGATTAAGAAACCTATGCATCCATTTTCTAATCCGGCTATCTTCAGACAGGTTGTGGCCGTGCTGGAGCCTTTCCCAGCTGTCTTCGGGCAGTAGGCGGAGGACACCCTGAACCACTTGCCAGCCAATCGCAGTGATTAAGAAGCATCTTATCAATTAAGCTTCAATTACTTTACTGAGTCCCAATGAATATGGAATTAAATCGATCAATTTTATTTGCAATAGGGTACATTGCTCCCATCCCGAGTTGTTTTGAATCTGGTGAGCTCACAAACTAATGTGATTTTTTTTCAGTCACACCGCAGCACAGTAGCAATTAAGAGGTCTTATTTCCAAACCTTCAGTCAAGCAGTATCTCTGCATTTAGAGGGGAGTTTTCACTACCCCACTTACCCTAACAGCATGTCTAATGAACACACACAGATAAGTAAGGATAGAAGGCCTGTTTATTGCAGGGGGAGAGTAAATCACAGTGTGCGATATCTTCATTTGAGACAAGAGGGCTGATCACTGCTTGTCCTGCTTGTTCCACATTAACTCATTATCACACACGCTCGCTCCATTAATTCTCTTGCTTTTATTAGCGGCAAGAGTGAATGGACCCACATGCGCACACACGCACACACACACACTCACAGTGGACCAATGACAAGTACTGCCTCTACCTCGTGTGACAGCTAATGGCTTCATTTGGAGCGCTGTGCTAATTGGCTGACTTTGGGGAGATTCTTGTTAATGAGGATAAATAGATTCACACCTGAATGGGGTGCTGCGCGGCCACAGCGGCACTGTGGGAAATGTGGCTGACGTATACAAATGTGGGCTGCAACACTAGATCATGGAGACGAATTGACATCCCCCTGTCCCTTTTTACTTCCTCCCAGGCTCAACACAGTTATGTTTCCTTGCCAGGCAGACTTATTAGCAGAGTGCTTGATTAGCACCAGGAGGCCAAAACAAAGAGCAGCATGTCAAAGCAATTAGCCTCACTGTTTACC